GAGAGAGAGAGAGAGAGAGAGAGAGAGAGAGAGAGAGAGAGAGAGAGAGAGAGAGAGAGAGAGAGAGAGAGAGAGAGAGAGAGAGAGAGAAATTCAATAGATTCTCTATACAGACCATTGGAGCAGACGACTGTAGAATGACACAAGATGTCAATCAGTGTTCGGGGTGCAGGATGAGGAGTAGCTGTTGCTTATGGTAGCTGTTGCCTAGGTAGGTGACCACTCCTGCAGACCGGACACGGGTGCGGACTGTGGAAGCATCACATCCAATTCTCGCAGTTGCAGTTGCTGCACCGGATGGCACGATGTAGACAGATATCGCAGGCAACATGGCTGCCACAGGCAAGCAACACACAGGCAAGCCGGCCGCAATTGTAAAGGCATTGCCGTTCGAGCCCCTGTCTACAAATTGGACATTACATGTCAGGGTGCCGGACGTGAGTGCAATATTGACTGTCATCATATGTATGAAAACAGAAAGATGCACGGGCGGTGCCTTCATAGTCCTCATGACACAATGCATGCAGCCCACATGATAGCCAAATCTCGGGTGGATCGTCACAAAACGGCATTGTGCAAGTGTTTTGGGTTTCCTCTGCATTGATTCCTTCTCTATGGACTGACTCGACAACGATGACTGTGGCAAGAGCGGGTCATCCAAAACAAGGGTGTCTAGCTGCTGCAGAATTTGTTCTGCAACAGTTCGTCCTAGTGGTGTTAGCCCTTCAGCACAGTGCTCTATAAGCGCCTCATGTGGTTCTCTATTTTCCTGCTCAGGCTGTTGAGTTCGCTGTTCGCCGGGCAAGAAATAAGGAGATCCGATGGCATTTGCAGTAATGGTATGCCCAACTCTGCATGTGGGACATGCCACGAGAGGATGTGGTGGATGATGGCATCGTGGATAGTCCACACAGTAGAGGCACATGCTTTCTATGACAGCTTCCTAGAAACATTGATGACACATGGCATGTTGCTGACATGTCAGCACGAAGGTAGGTTGGCGTTCGCAGCTATTTAAGCATGGCAGCCACGACGGATATTGGGCAGGCGATTGGGGGGTTGGGGGGATGAACTCAAAACAAAGAGTCGCAGTTTTCACAAGAGAGGCTGGCAATGACCATCCCTTCATAGTGTTTGGAGCAGAGACTATGCACTGTGCATGCTAACCGAACTTCGGTTGTGTGGCCACAGAATGGAAGGTCACAACCAACATCTTCTAAGGAGATTCTTTCATTGTCTGGAGCAGAATCTGCCCGATTTACACAGGGAGGGGACACTGCTTGGTCATGTGCAGGGGAAGGAGGTAATTGTGCATCTGGATTGCTCTCCGGAGACTGAAGCGCTTGCGGGTGCGAACTAACATATTGTTCCTGAAGGACAATCCAAATTGAGTGAGTATTTGCTACTTGGTTATAGAAGGAGCTAATGCTACTTACCGTGTGCACCCTACCTCCATTGTCCCATAAGGACCATGAATTGTCTGCAAAGGTCATAGTGCTGAAATGTTCTGGCAGATACAGGATGTACGCGCGGATATTTGAGTTCATGTCTGGCATGTGGTTCTGGGGAGCAGGCTGCAGTTGTAGTATTCCACCCATAAATGCCATAGACAAGACTTCTATGTTCACTTCAGGACCAGTACTGTCATCCTCTGGGCAGACATCACAGTGCTCTTCTTCTATCCAGAAGAAAATATCAACAAAATCAGAAATTGTGTAAGGGTTACAGTTGTAAGCGAGGAGACTGACATTGACAGCATAGTACACACAATAGTCTCGCTGCAGCAAGATAAGATCATATGATTCTGCTGGTTGTGCGGTAGGGAGCAGTTCATTCAGCTTTGTGGATTGCACGGCAGGCGGAGATTCAATGTGGTCTTGATTGTTTCTATCAGGTTCCTCCATTTGTGGAAACTGCATTGGCTCTAGTACACGCTCCGGAGAGAGGTCATCTCCAATTAGGGGCTCCATCAAATGATCAGAAGGCAGGTCATTGACCATTGGGGTTGGGGAACATGCGTTCTCTGTGTGTGTGTGTGTGTGTGTGTGTGTGTGTGTGTGTGTGTGTGTGTGTGTGTGTGTGTGTGTGTGTGTGTGTGTG